CATTACCTAACTTGTTACTTGAAGTAGTTTAATTTCATTGCTATCTGTTTTGACAGCTGAATATTATCTTCCTGGTGATCACACTGTACAAAATGGTGAAGCACTCAAACACTTTGAAACCAGACTCTAGCAGGTTGGAAAACATTAAGTAAGTGCTTTGTGTTTGAATCAAGAACTGTGATTATTTTTTCTGATTGTTCCAACTGATTGAAAGCTCCCCCTTTCCATTAGCAACACAAGGCTTTGTTTCCCAGCACCCACAGATGTCAATTAGAAGTAAACAGCACCAATCCTGCTCTCGTCATATTTGTTGCTATAATGATACAGGCAACACTTGAAATTAAATAACTTCTGCTTGTAACAATGGCCAAGAATTTGTTTTGGTGCATTCATGGAGATTCCTCAGCAATGTAGCAAGTTCATTTGCATTTAAAATGCAGCGATGTTCCTCCTTGCATGGCTGGTGTTGTTCTGCTGAGTATGTTTCGTTAAATTATTTTCAGACGCTAGTGATTCTCAGCGGTTTCCCGATTCATAATCCCACTCCCCTAAGAGAATTTGCTTCTACTTCTTTTGTTATCTTGAAGATTATCTGTTGCTTTTCATGCAAATTTAACAAATATTTACTTTTATCCTGTGACTACACAAGAATCACAATATTCCCTTTCTTGAAAGTAGAGCAATGGCTTAATATTCTTAATGAGAATCTTACACTGGTGGATCATGCTTTAGGTCAGAGGTAGGCAAGATAAGATTCCACTGTCCAATTCCAGCCCAAGCATCCATTATGTGGGTAAAGGGAAGGAACAGATTTCTGGGAGGGAAGCCTTTGGGTTGGTTGGGTGGGATAAACACTTTGGACTTACATTGCCTAACCCTGCTTTAGATTATTCTATATTTAGACTGGAATTGTTTTTCCAGACTTAAGAGGGACAGGACTTTCCCCCCTAATCATAAGCACTCTTCCTTGGAGGTCAGATCCACTGACATCATTGGTGCTCCCAAGTGAAATGTGCTTAGTAGTGGGCTCTTGAATTGTCTTTGAATGCAGAATATGGCAAGGGCAGATTTGCAACAAAGCTAGCATTACAAACTAGAAGTTGCTTAGATAGGTCACAATATCAGCTTCATTGCATGTTGCATGTTAAGAGAGAGAGCTAATCTTTAGCACCTCTCTTTTCTTCCTTTTCTTCCTCTTTCTGTCTTCTCATCCACACCAGTAATTACCGTGTTTGTGATGGCTACTATAATACGGACTTACCTGGGTAAGATAGAACCCTACATTAACAAATTTAAAGCATGACTTTTTAATTTTTATTTTTTAAAAAAACAAAACTTTACAAATTTGGACAATTTTCTGGATTGTCCATAATTTTAATTAACAACTTTGGAGATAATCTAATTTGCTAAACTATTTCCAACTATTATATGCTTTTTATTATTTTAAACTGCTTGCGTCTGCACTTTGAATTTTCTAATTTTAACTAATTTTTGTATAAAATTACTAAAAATGCTTTCTTATTAATTTCAATTTAAATTCTGTCTAATGATTTTGTTTCTCTTTTCTGCTTATAATGCTTTCTAGCTATGAAGATAATAAGCCATTTATCAAGTAAGATCATTAGTTAGATGTGGAATGCACTGAATAAACCCCTTTCCCCTTCATTCTGTGCTGTCCTCTGCAATTTCTCTCCCCCCCCCCCCGAAACTATTCATGACAAAATATCCTTCAAAGACTTTCTTTTGTGATTAAATCCATATATTTGTCACATTTTAGTAAGGCACTTTCATATGAAAGTTAGACTACCTAGTTTAGCAGAGTCTTCAAACTTTAGGTTATCAGCTTTTGATCTGCCATTTAACTTTTGTGTATTTGTGTTATTTGTGTATGTGTGTGTCAGATGCAAGCACAATTGTTAAAATATAGGCATCCATTAGTGGTTAAAAGAAACTTTCAGATCTCCAAATATACACGCATACATACAGATAAAGCAAAGGGGTTTCTGGACCTGGTACTAGAGCATTGCATTTTAAAATAACTACCGCTGCTGTTTTCATTGGAAACTAAAACAGAATTGCTCTTCCTATAATAGATAAAAGGTTAAAGCCAATAATTTGTAATTATATATGACTAAAAACCTAGTAAAAATAAATTGCAGCAAGTAAACTTTTAATATGCAATTTTGCAATGTGCATTTTAAAAAAAACAAAAAACAAAATGGCAGTGTTACTTAAATTGCTTTTCTTTTTCAGGTCTTGGGCCCTAGGGGCATTTGCTCTCCTGTGTCTTCTGGGCCTAACATGGTCTTTTGGACTGCTTTATGTCAACGATGAGACCATTGTGATGGCATACCTCTTCACAGTATTTAATTCTTTCCAAGGAATGTTTATTTTCATCTTTCATTGTGCACTCCAAAAGAAAGTGAGTCATTGCACATATACACTTTCTCTGTATCTCCAAAATATTTCCAGTATCTCTTTTTAAACAAGGCATTATATATCAGTGGAACGTAGCGCTCTGTTGTTTAACGTGTGATCCAGCTGCCAACAAAATTGCTGTTAGAAATCCTGATTGTTAGGTTACTTTACCCATTCTTCTGCATTCTTGCAATACTCCCCCTAGGTGGCAGTGTCACAGACGAAAGTGAACACACGCCAATAATTGGGATTGTCTGGATGCAGTTAGTCCCACGTTACCATGTTTAATGTGGGGCAATCAGAGCAGAATTCTACATGTGTCTGTTCCGAAGAAGATCTCAAATTAGATCAATGGGGCTATTTTCTTACTAATCCTAGTGCCAATGACTTGCAAGGCAAGTTGGGCCATAAACTAGACATGTAAATGTGCCTATCTTTAAAAAAAGCTGCAAAGCCACTTAAGAACATGGCCATAGCAGTGGGGGGGGGGGGAGCTGCCCTCCCAAATCAAATAAATCAATAAAAATACTTAACTAACAGAGGTTTCCCCCACTAGCATGAAGCCTGGCTATGCCAATGCTTCAGAAAGCAAATAAATAAATAAATGGAATCAGAAACCATTCTAAAAATGGATGGGTTTTGTTGTTCAGCAAACATTTATGGCCTCTGTTATGCAACATGGAACAAATAAGTATATTGTGTTTAACTATTAAAACAGGGTAACTGCAGTTTTTCTCCCCTGGAAAGTATTGGTGTATGGGGAGACACTGTTAGCCATTGATCAACCCCTGTAGCACATCTTTCTTTTCATTTGTGATTTTTCTGGCTGATGGTAGATTTGTTCATTATGAGGTGAAGCTTTTAGCCAAAGTTGATCCCCAGCAGGGCTCTTTTCTTTCCATCCTCCAAGAGCAGGATTGTACTTAGATATAGGTAAAATACTATTTATAATCAGCATTTTAAAGAGAACTGTGAAAATCAAATTACTGTTCACACATTGGGATCCCTGATTCATAGGACATTTCATTAATTTGAGATCATTGGATAAAAGGCATGCTGATTATTGGCTGCTAGTTTGATAAGAGTTGAATCAGAAGTAGCCTTTTGTATTTGAAATGAAGTTGGCATTTCATTATTATTTTTTTTACAAGTGGTATACTCTCCAGTTTGAGTGTGGCTGCTATGATACAGGCAAAGTGATTTGCGTCATGAAATAGGGAATTGCCAGTTGGGCAGTAGGTATTTCTTCCGATTTAGAGGAATGGAATGAATATTTGAAACATTTTAAAATGAAAATAGTCAAGATACAAATGCTTCCTAGACTAGGCTATTATAAAACAATGTTGTTGTTGTTGTTTTAAAAAACCCCAATAACATCAAAAGGCACATTGCCTTTATTCCTTATTCGAATTATGTATTGTTTTTATACTATGTTGCAGTAGTCAGAAGCAATATTAAGTGCCAGTTGAGCGTGGAAAAAGCTTAACCTTCGCACAAGATGTTTCATACCTGCAAGAAGCATTCAGGCTGCCGTTTAAGCTTTAAAAAGTTTCAGTGTCTTTCCCTGGATATCATTCTACTTCTGTATACATAGCTAATGTGTTCTTTTTATTCTGTTATTACTAGTTGGCCACTAAATTGAACAGAGAAATAGAATTGTGAAAGTGAAAACTATTATGTTTCTAGTCCTGACAAGATGATAGTGCTGTTACTTCCTTCAGTTTTGAACAAGCTGTAATTTAGAAATAATGACAGTGGAATGTGCTGCACTGACAGATAATGTACATTCACAGCAGTATAGACATTAGGCAAAAATCAGCCCCAGGGGGTGGTATTTGGGAGGCAGGGGGAATTAAAAAAACGGTGACAGTCGCTGGTCACACACACACACACACACACACACACAATTTTGCAGCTTATATAGGAAACCCATACTATGCCCGTTCTCATCCCTGGCCTAAATTTCTAAGGCCATTAAAATCTTTTAGGCTGTAATCCTATATAAACCTGAGCGTAAGCTCCATTTAAACTGAACTGGACTTGTTTCTGACTTGACATGCATAGCATTAATCTTATTTCCCTGGGGATATTAGCACCATTCACTTAGCTTTACCTTTTTGTGAACTTAATCACACTAGACATTGAAATACAACTTTGTGCCGTCCAAATAAATTCAATCCCAAATATGTATCCTTGAAATGAGCAGTGCAGCTCCCAGTAGTGGTCAGTGGGGGTGGCAGCACTTACCTAATCTCCCATCACCTAGGTTTACTGTGGAGGAGCGAGTGAGGTGGGCATGATGGAAATGCACCAGTGGGAGCACCAGATTGGCTCCACCGATGCATTTGCACCATGGTAACCTCACCGCTGGGCTCCCCATAAACCTTGGCTGCACTGGTGAAGTTGCTGTTCCATTTCCCAAGCCACTACAACTATGGTGCCCAGCTGTCTTCATTGCTCTCGTTCCACTTTGTTAGCCAATAGAGCTGCTTGGCACAGACTGGCTCTCTTCAAGCCGTAAGTGGTCACACCAGAGTTTGTCTGGAATTGTTTGCAGTGTACTGGGAGAGCCAGTCGAGACGCAACCTCCACCTGGTCATGGTTCAAAGCCACACTGGAATGTGAATCATGGGGGACATTTTGTCTATGATTTCCTTCTACCTGCAGTTCCCCAGCTAGGAAGATCTAGAGAAAGGATAATTGCAAGGCATAATTGAGGCGAGGATTTTGTGCTTCACTGACATGCTTTTAATTTTGTAAAAATTTAATACATTTTTCTTAATTTTTTTGATAAAATTGGCCCTGTTTCAGAAGGCCTTGTTTACCTTTGCTGTCTGCCTCAGATCTCAGGAGCAGGTAGGCTAGAAATATACAGATAGACACATACAGAAATAGATTATTTAAAAATGAAAGCATGAATATTTATGAGCATCGTTGTTAACATACAGGTACGTAAGGAGTACGGCAAGTGCTTCAGACATTCGTATTGCTGTGGAGGATTGCCAACAGAGAGCCCACACAGTTCAGTAAAGGCATCGACTACAAGAACTAGTGCTCGCTATTCCTCTGGCACTCAGGTAACAAACATTTTGACAGAACCTTTTAATGACAGCATCTTTTAATTAACCTTGCTTATAAAAAGCCCGCTGAGATGCGTTCCATTCAGATGCACTAATTGTGTTCTCATTATAACAGCCTTGATGACAATTGCATGCTTTTTTTATATATTCTGGGCCTGATTCTAAACATTCCTTCAAGGTTGAGCTTCATAGTAGTTATTTATTTTTTAGTTTTTTTAAAAAAAGAAGACACTAACAACAAACTCTCTTATTGGTCCATAAGCAGTTAGAGCTTACCTATGGCCAGAAAGTGGCCAAGAGATGTGATTTTTAATAGCATGTATAGTCAGCAGTAAGTCTGAGACATGCTTAATATAAATCAGTTCGGGAGACTACATGTTTCACAAATGACTTTCCATTTTACAAAGGTAAATATAACCATTTTCAGGAAGTTTTCCTGTATGCATAATAATACTACAAGTAGAGAAAGATAGTAGCCTGATTGGACTGCCTGTTTGATCAGTGACACTAAACATAAATACATTGTTACCATTCCTTTGAAAAAGAAGTCCAAACATTTGCTTTCTGTTAAATTTATTTATTTTTAATGCAACTAAAGAAGCAACCAACAGATGCATTCAACCTCACTTTTCTTTATGTAGCCTAGGCCAGTTCCCTTATCAAAATGCTGCAGCTAAAACAATGCCAGAGCTCAGCTAAAAGAACGTGCATTAGATGACTTTCCAGTCTTAAAAATTAAGTGCATCACTTCCCTCTACACTTTGAGACTGAAGTTGTTGCAACTCAGCCTGGGCACAAGACTGTCCAGCACTAAGTGCTCAGGCTGAAGAGAAAGATACCCCGCAGCATGAACCAACTGATGTCCTAAGTGGCCACCAAAGAACCAGAAACTAGTTTGAAGCCAAGCGTACCACAGCCAGTTCCATGCTCCTCTCCAATACTTTGGTCGTAAGAACATGCATCACGGCAGGCATGACAGAGAAGTTGGTTAACAGTGCAATTCTGTGCATGCTGACTTGCAAGTAAGCCCCACTGTGTTCACTGGGTCTTACTCCAAGGTACGCTTCCGTAGGATTGTAGCTAAATGTGCCAGGTTGCCATGTAAGATGTGACAACTATGCCCTATTTCTTCCGTTAACAGAGCCGAATAAGGAGGATGTGGAATGACACTGTGAGAAAACAATCTGAATCATCCTTTATCTCAGGTGATATCAATAGCACTTCAACACTTAATCAAGGTCAGTTGCTGGACACATCACACTCTAGTTTTGTTCTTTCGGCGGTATTTTTTTCAAATAAGAATTTAGGAGAATTGGATTGCAGTAAATAAATCAAATAAGCAGATGTGCTCTGGGGTAGGTAGGTTAAATATCTCAGCATTGGAATGGAATCACACACACACACACACACACACACACACACACAAAATGTATAAAATTATAGCTCAACTCGAGCTTGAACACATTTAAAACTTAGTTCCCTCATGCTCTTTGCTCAGGATTGAATCTGACATTCTTATTCATGGAAATCGTATTTAAATAAGTCATCAATAATTTAAACATAAAAGCAAAGAACATAATTTTAAACTTTTGCTAACCTTTGTAGTCTAAAACTGAAACAGAACTATACCAGCACAGTGACATTGTAAATGCATAAGATTTCCATATGCGGACATTTTGCCTGTGAAATCAAATTGACATCAGCTCTATACAAAAGACATCTGCAAATAGGGTTTCCCCCACAGTATAGTTTTGATCATATCTGTAACGTACAGCATTTGTCTGCCACATGACAACCTGAAAAGAAGGGAGGGAGGGGAAAGCCACAGAACAGACTTAAGATGTCTGGTCACAGTTTTATCACTATAATTCAGATTGAATGTGCTCATGCATTGAAAACTCTTCACAGAAGTATACTAAATGATTATGAAGGCTACCCATGCCATCTCTAGCAGTAAACTAACCAAAGCTTCTCATCCAAATCTTAATATATTAATAGACACTTTATCAAAAAATTACTAATGTACAACACTGTACCCCCCAAAATCTCAATGTTAAAATCCAAATTGAGTTTATAGGGAGGTCTTTCCTGGTGGCTTGTCATAACAAAAAAGAAAAAAGCCCAATAAATCTATGTTGATCCACAAGAAAATTCCAAAATCCACAGTTGATGTTGTTAGCTGTAAGGCGTGCATCTGGAGTCTTGATGGATGTTTCAGTTCCTTTATTAGGACCAACTAAAATGTCAGAAAATAGTGAGCAAGATTTCGTATTCCTCAGACTCTTCACCAGGCCAAAAGTTCCATAAAGCAGGGAGTGTGGGGAAAGTGGGACAGATATGGAAATCCACCTTGGAATAAATCTAGATCTGCTACCCCCAGCCTAGCACTGTCCAGATGTTTTGAACTAACCATCACCCCTTCAGCCACAGCCAGATTTTCCAGCAAATTGAAAATGCTGCTAGGGTAGGGGACCACTGTGATTTTAACAAGGAAAAAAAAAACAACCCAATTACAGCCTCCCTCTCTCCAAAGGAAGTAACCTCTTATCTAGAAAGTTTCCATTCCTTCAGGGATTGGTTTTGGGGTAGGGGAGCCAGAACGTTTTTTGTTAAAAATCATGGTACAACCAAGCTCAGATGCTTCTTTCTCTGTAAAGAATTAGGAAATGGAGCTAGAATAGCTGCTGGCTGACATTTATCCCTGGCAAGCAACATTTGCATAGGCCCCAAGCCAGATTTTTATTTTTATTTTAAATGGCATGTGAATAGAACATATAGCACTTCTTTTTGTTGGAAGAAGTAGAAAATCGTCCATTGTCTGACTGGTTGTACTGCCAGGATTTTCTCCAGTTTCCTTGCAATTCTAGGGTCTGCTGTATTGAGCTAGCTAGTTGGGCACAATCTTGAAGAGAAAACAGCAAATCCCATTTGGAAGCATCCACTAATTTCCATGAGTTTTTGTGCACTGGGACTTTCCCTATGAAATGTGCTCTGAACTTCTAGGTAGCCAGTGCTGCATTTTTCAGTTAATAATAATAAAAAAGACCATGACCTTTGAGTTCTCAGAGCCAACACACTAGAGTTAGAGAAACGTTAGTCTTTCTGCCACAGCGCAGAAATTAAGACAGAGGTGGGGAATTATGGTAATTAGCTAAAATTGCCATGTGGTGTAAAGTTTGCAATGTGCAGCATAGGGGAAGATTCTTTGAATTGCACTTTCTTGTATTTAGATTGCATCTTTTTAAAAAAATGTGAAAATCAAATAAATGAAACCAAACACCAAATAAGATTAACATAATCTGTCAGTAAAGCAATTCCCTGAACTGCAGGATTTTTGCTACCTACAGTAATAATATTTTGAGTAGTGATAAAGGCATTAATATTTAAAATGTAATATCTGCTGCTATTGCCACAATGAGAACCTAATCAATTTAAATTTTGTATGTAAATTTTTTGGCTGCTCTCTATCTCATTCTGGACATGTAATATATTCAGACAACATCCACCTCTCCTACCCACTGTCACACTGCTCAACAGAACGGCACTTTCGCCTTGCTTGTGTATATATGATGCATTTGGGCCCACAAAGACTGCACTATAATTCCATCTCCCCTGACAACTGTATTAATTTAAGATACCCAAGATCAATATGGGTTTTCAAATGCCTAGTTTTTAACAAATTGCTTAGAAACTTTCTCGGCTTCTTTAGAGGGCATATGCAAAAAGTGTTGATGCATTGGAATTGAAATTGCAGAAATAAGCTGTTTGCTCTAGCTTTCGGTGTGTTCATTTAAGATTATTGTTGCAGGGAGGACAGACATAACTTAAACATAACTCACTTAAAAATCCTAACAGATAGCGTTGCAGCATGAATCCGTTTCTCCCGTAAGAATTTATGAATGATTTGCCCTCAACTCCAACCCCCCACCCTCTCCATGCCTCCCCTTAAGCATGCGCTCCTTTGCATATAACAAGAAAGGCTTCATGCAGCTTGCCATCACTTACCTTTGGCTGAAGAGGTTGTTTTTCACTTGCTCTCCCCCCCCCCCCCGGCTAAGTTAGTAATAAACCCTGTAGGTTTCTGAGATTGACCGGCGTGGCTCTAAATTAACACAATTTTGATTTCTCTATTACGCCGCCTATTACCCATGCTTAAGGTTAGAGACATTAAGCTGTAACATCTTGAAATAGAACATTGGTCTTTGCGTTTAATTGCTATTCTTGTTTTAACAGTGATTTTGTATAAATTAGCAAATGTCATTCTTAGCAGGTGTTTACTTTGGGGATTTGGCCAGCACCTGTGAATTACTGAAATCTAACTACATTTTCCCTCTCGTCCTTCAAATTAGTAGTTCAAATACATTCAGAAATGTTCGGCTGAATCAAATTTGACAAGATATACACGACTCATGATGACATTTTTGTAAAATATATATATATACTTTATTGGAACTGTCAGAATCAAATTAAGGAGCTGATGTCTCTCTTTCTGTTTCTTTGCTTTAGGAATGACTGGCAATTACCTACTAACAAACCCTCTTCTTCGACCACACGGCACTAACAATCCTTATAACACATTGCTCGCTGAAACCGTTGTATGTAATGCCCCTTCAGCTCCTGTGTTTAACTCACCAGGTGTGCCCACACTTTGGGATATGTTGCTTTTGCTTTTGTTTCTTGATGGTATTTTGCTCAGAGCCTCCGTCAGTTAATTTGGCCGGAGACCTAGAACTGCCGTCCATATATTTCTCTCTCTCCGTCGAGGAGTACTGCTGATAACG